TCAATTAGAAAAGGGCCACCTACCATTCATTGATACATGCACCATGGACATGAGGGGGTGTATTTCAAGTCCCGCCAATCCTAGATCATTGAAAAAGGGCCACCTACCATTTATCCACGTACCAAGCCTAATAGTGCTGGACGTGAGGGGGGTGTATTGGGAAAAACTCAAGTCCCACATCGACTAGAGATTAGGCAATTAAATACTATATAAGTGGAAAGCAACCATCACCATACAAGCCGGTTTTGTAGGGTTGAGTTAGGCTTAATCCACTATTCTAAGAAAATGGCTTAAATTCATTCTTCATTCAACTATGCTATCTTTTGGATAGAAGGGTGCATTAAGGAGACTCTCTTTCTCCTCTAGTATTTCTTGTTGAAGACATGCTCAGTTGTGGGATATCTTTATTAGTTGATTAGGAGTTGTGGCCACCTATGGGAAGTTCATGGGGATTTTATCACTACAATAAAATAAATTTTTAGTGATATTTAATATGATTTTTTGTGATAATAAAAATTATTCCAAAATTTTTTACCAGTATTTTTACATTAGTCATTATATCTCGTGTTGTTAAAACATTTACCGATAATTATTCTGCATGCTAGTAAAGACTCTTACAATGATAAAAAAAAGTGTATAAGTTTTTTGTGGCATTTAATATTTTTTGCTATTGCCACTAAAAGTTTAAGAAATGATTCATAATTCTCTTTAATTATCTTATCTCTAGTCGATGTGAAACTTGTAAAATAAGGGTTGTTATCTACTTATATATTCTTTAATTTCCTTACTTTTTTAATTGTTTTATTTCCTAATTGATTATTTTATCTATAGTCGATGTGTAACTTTAATATTTTCCTTCATAATACTCTTTAATTATCTTATCTCTAGTCGATGTAGGACTTGTAAGGTGAGAGTTATTTTCTACTAACATACTCTTTAATTATTTTATTAATAGTCGATGTGAGACTAGAATTTTTTTTTATATTTTTTTAATTGTCTTATCTCCTAAGAAATGTGGGACTTACAAGGTGAGAGTTGTTCTCTACTTACATACTCTTTAATTATTTTATCTATAATCGATGTAAGACTTAAGTTTTTTTTAATAAATAATTATTATTAATAATAAATTTTGGTATGATATAAATATATTTTTAGTGACTATTATATATTAGTTATTAATATTTTTTATTAAATAATAAAATAAAGATAATTAATTTATTAAGGAAGTCGACCAAAGCTTGAGCCTTGATTGCTCCTCTCGGCTCATACTTGATGGAGAATTCCGATAGCTCAACCGACCACTTCATCATTCTTCCTGCCAGGTCGGGCTTCTGTAAGACTTGCCGGATCAGGTGGTCGGTTCGGACTACTACTTCATAGCTCTGGAAGTAGTGTCTCAATTTCCTTGCGGTGACTAATATTGCAAGAGCCAACTTTTCAATCTTCTGATACCTCGTCTCCGCTCCCTGTAAGACCCTACTCACAAAGTAAATAGGAACTTGAGAAGCTTCTTGCTCTTGTACAAGGACCGCACTAACTGCTCGGTCGGATGCCGATATGTAGATCAACAAGGGGATGTTCGGACGTGGTTTTGTCAAAATCGGCGGCGATGCAAGTGACCTTTTTAGTTCCGTGAAAGCTTCTTCACGCTAGGGTCTATAGCAAGTTTGTGGCACAAGAAATCTGGATCAATGTCAGGCATGTCGCTGGAATGCCATGCAAACGCCGACACATTTTCTTTTAGAACCCTTACCAACCTCTCTTCGTCCTCGGAAGTTAAAGAAGTGCCTATCTTTACATTTCTCCCTTCCATTACCTCCACTTCCTTGATATCTTCTGCGGGGGCGGGTCGGTGATCGAACTGACCCATTCTAGGATCCAGTTCAACGGAATGGATGTGTTTCTCAGCTGGAGCGGTATATAAATGCCTTCTTGCCTTCAGACTGTCCTCGTAACACTTTCGAGCGACCTCTTGGTCTACTTTGAGGACCCCGACATCCCCATTCGGCAATGGATACTTCACCTTCAGATGTGATGTTGACACTATGGCTCCCAGTTTGTTCAACGTAGGTCTATCGATAAGTATATTGTAGGACGACTAAGCGTTCACCACTAAATATCGGATAGTTACCGTTTTCATCTGTGAACCCTGTCTGAAGGTTGTTTCCAAATTGGCGTACCCTCTAGCCATAACCTGGTCTCCCGCAAAACCTACTAAGGTTCCCGTGTAGAGTACTAGTCGGTCGTTGGAGATCTTCATTCCCACGAAAGCCTCCCAAAAGAGGATGTCGGTCGAGCTTCCCGGGTCGACCAGAACGCGCTTCACATTATAGCCCATCACTATCGTCGAAATGACGATAGGATCATCCTCGTGAGGAGCTACCCCTTCTTAGTCGGCGTCCGAGAAGGAAATCGCAGGTTGAGGTGGTCGGCGTATTTCTGACACGGACAGGACAGAGCGGGTATACCTTTTCCGAGCAGCCGAGGTGACTCCTCCTCCTGCAAATCCTCCTGCCACTATGTTGAAATCCCCATGAATTGCTTGCTGATGGACCTCCGATGACTTTGTTGGAGTGTCCTTGGGGGGAGTTCTCTCTCTATGCATATCCCTCCTTGTGTCGTCCTATACACGCCTGTGTCGCCTATCCGATGAGCCTTCTTCTAGTTTTCTTGCCACAAACTTTTTCAGACGTCCCTCCTTGATCAAGCATTCGATCTGTCTTCCAAGGACGAAACAATTTTTCGTGGAATGCCCGTGAGTCCTCTGAAACTCACACCAATCGGTCTTGAAGGAACCCAACTGGCGCTCCGTCGCTGCTGGGAACTCGAATAGCGACGCACTGTTGACATCGTGAAGTATCTGCCTCCTAGGGACGTTGAGTGGAGTAAACTTCTCATCCTCGTTGGCTTGTGTCCACTCGCCCCTTGGCCGACTGCCATGATCGGCCTGTCGGTAATTGCTCTCCTTCATATTATAGCGATCACGTCGCTTATTCCAATCTAAACGTGGTCAAAGATATTTGTTGCTCTCCTTATTGCTACCCCCTGCCTCCTCTCGGTTTTCAGCAGCCCTTTTGTTAATTTGTCCTTCCTCCGTCTTGATGTGACTTAGGGCGAAAGCTCTCACTTCCGACATTGTTTGACAATTTGCTCTTTCGAGCGCGATGTCGAAAGCTCCAGACCTTAGACCCTTCTAGAACACAATGACAGCCATCCTTTCATCCAACGACGCTATCCTCAAGGCGACATCGTTGAACCTTTGCAGAAAGTCCTTCAACAACTCCTCGCGTTGCTGTTTGAGGTCGAACAAGTCCGACCTGATCGGCGGTTTCTTCTTGTTAGCAGCGAACTGTGCTATGAAAAGCCGACTAAAGACATCGAAGTCGGTGATTGATCGGTCAGGGAGACCACTAAACCAATCAAGTGTTGCCTTCTTGAGGGTGCCCATGAACAATTTGCAGCGGACTTCCATACTCCCTCCACAAATCAACATTTGAGCTCGGAAATCCGTCAAGTGTTGATTGGGATCCTGTGTTCCATCAAAAGGTTCCACCTGGGGGACCCGATGGTCTCTCAGGATGATCTCGGCCTCTATAGCCTCCGAGAAAGGTCGGAAATCCCTATGAACTTCCATCATGACATCTTCCTCCGCCGTTCGGG